ATTTTGTTAAAATCTCAGTGCATAAACTTTAGGAGAAATTGGTTTGCAGACTTTTTCAATGATCAATGCAATCTTGACTTTTTGACAAATGGGAAAGGTTTTGTGGATCTGAACAGTGATTTATGAAGAAACTGCAAAAGTGGACAGAAGCTCGACACGGGTATAGTGTCGACACGTTCTTTTGGTGTCCACATCATATGGTGAGCATCTAAAACTCCGACACGAACGTGGTGTTGACACAAATTTTGGGTGCCGACACTATATGGCAGGCGCCCAAAACATTTAGTATGATACCTGTCAAGTATGATGTATGGGTTTGGGGTACTTCTTGTACTTCGGTTATTAATAAATATTAATTGTTGCTGTTCAAAAAAAAAAAAATGATCAATGCAATCTTGACTTTTTGATCTTGGAGAGATAGGTGAAGAAAAGAAGGTGAAGTTGGAGAGTGATGATTATTGGAGAAGGTTTTTGCAGCGGCTGCTAAGTACGTTGAGGATAAATGAGAATTGGAAAGTAGAGGCAGGAAATCAGACTGCTATAGCTCAAGATACAAGTTCATTTACAGACAACTTCGGGACAAAATCTACACAAGAAAGGCAGTTTGTGAATTTCAAATCTGTTAATTTGCTGAGAAATAGAAGAATTCTTTCAATATGGAAGAAAGAAAGTGAGAAAGCTTTGGCTTTTTCCAATGAATTAATATGATTATGGAAGAAACAACTGTGAATTTGAATACCATGCCTAGAAATTAAATCTTTTATAGCAAGTTTCTTAAATTGCAAAGGAGAGAGAGAGGAATTTTAATTGCTCCATTATATGAATGTGTGGTAAAACACAAGATCTAAGATCCGAGTGATACCACAAATGAGTGCTGAAGATCAACGCCTGTGCAGATTCAACAAAAGATCACTATAAGTGAGAAGTGTTTACAACTTTCGTATAACTCATTTTTCATTGTCATGTGAGAACAATTTATGTTTATTTATATAATTTTTCTCACTTCAATTTTTGTTTACCTCTGGGTTTGCTCTCGATGAGCTTGAAAGTATTAAAAGCAAAAAACTTCGAAGTAGGATGTGTTGCTCTTTTTCTTTTAGTTTTGCCTTCTGAATTTTATTCTATGAAGCTCATCTCTCACCCAAATGCTATAATTAAACAAAGATCAAGGGGAATGTGTTCCTTTTCCACCAATTGTTTTGAAAAAAAAAAAAAAGAAAAGTTATAAACCGATAAAATAACAATCAACATGTGTGGCCTTAACAAAGTTGTGTGTGGTCATAACACAACCCAAAAACTATAACTAAAGAGATGAGTGGTAATATGGGTAAAAGAAGAAGAAGACAGATCGCTATAAATATTGCTAGCATTTATTTGTTTGATTCCTTTCATCCATCTACCTAAAAGTAGTTACTTTTTTTTTTTTTTTTTTTTTTTTAATATGGGAAATTGGGTTGTTGAAAATTGAAATTAGGGTTAAATGGTGTCCCCAAGTACCTTATCTGAATCTGTTAAAAAATAAAAATAAAAAAAAGAAGTAAGCAATCAAGTTATATAAAATTTCCTGCGTTAAAGTGGTTGATAAATGCTATAAAATCTTTGTTCTAAGAGCAGCAGACCTGAATAGACAACCATGTTAGTGTTCTATCCTATTTCTGATTTCTGCTTGTAATTGTAGGTTTTTAAGAGGTTCTCATTAATATCTATTGCTCAGTAGAAGAAAGCTCAGGGATCATGGTGCTGCTCTGATATATAGAAAGGTGCAAGAATCATTTGAGGCCGCTCCACTGCAATAACACGTTCTTGTCTTCACAGAAAAGCCCAGCAGCTCTTTGTGCATTATTAAAAATAAATAAATAAATAAAGGCTTAAAGCAAGCCAGCGCTTAGAGTTACAAGCAACAGCTTGCATGAAACAGCAATTGAAACTGAAAGTCCTGTGACAGCTTGGAGTTCATATCTTCTATTGCAAGTTGTCAAACAAGGGCAACAGAGTCAAATATAATATTATTCAAAAGCTGATGTAATCTTGTTAAGTTGTTATGCCAAGTCAGGACTTATTTCCGTGATACCTTTAAAACTTCTTGTTCCAGAATATTGCTTTCTTATTTCCGTGATTCCTTTAGAAAGGATATTGAGCTTTATTAAGTAAATGTACCGTCTGGCCAGTTTCATGGTGCAGAGAATAAAAAGGCTTCTCAAGGTTAGTTATGTGTGCATCTTTCTGCCCGTGGAAGGAAAGCAACAGTTTTACAAGCAGAATCATCTCAAGCTGACAATTAATATGAAGCTGAAGTAAAAATTATATGAAGATGAGACATTGAAGGGTAAGACAAATATTTCCCTTACTGTTATTTTCACTTGATTCTATCCTTCGCATGAAGTTCAAGTCTAGCATGATAGCATCCTAGCTAGTTTATCTTACATTAAGTTAAATAACTTTTTGTGCATTGCGTAGGCCATTGCAAAAAGAAAAGAAAACATCATTATCATGCTTTGAAGAACAATATCATGAACTGTCTTCTGGCAAAAATTAAGAATCAAAATATTTATGCTTAATTATTATATATATGATAATCTAAAGTTAGATCATGAAACTATAGGGTTCATGAAATATAGCATTGAATCGCCAACAGATTCTCTTGTCCACAGTCATTAGGACATGTGCTACACATGTACCTTTCATCTGCAAATTGTAACTTGTTGGAACCGAATTAAAGATCACTTCAGGCACACGGAATGGAACCAAGTTGTATATTCATGGTCAGAAACATTTTGGAGGCCAGAAAGTAAAAGAATTAAAAGGCTTTGTCGGTTGCAAACCAAATGTTGGCCTTCCGGATTTATCCTACAAAGGACAACATATGATGATCCCTTAACATGATTCTCAATCGAGGAATTGTGAACTAGTGGTCCAAGGTATGTTTTTTGTTTTGTTCTGCTTTTACTTTCTTTTATATCAGTATTCATATTATACTTTAGTAAGTGAAAGAATCGAGCCACTTAATTCATTAAAGAAAAAAAAAATGTTCTTTTCCGATTACGTTATAGGACATAGTAATGTTCTTTATCCTTACAACTATGGTTGCCATCTTCTGGTGGAGGTGATAAACAGATAAATCACACCTGCAACCATTGTATTAGAAAATTTTTTATGGCTGGACGTACTGATGCAGTGATTCTTCAGAATTTCAAGATGTTTGTTTTGTCATTTGGCAAAAGCAATGTCATTA